GGAAAATTTTCAATTCTAGGAGCAATATTAATAGCATAACCAATACTAGGTGCACCGTGCATGTCCATGATATAAATATGTGTAAGCAATATATAAATAACATCAAAACAAGATTATCAATAATAAAAAGAATAATGGATCTTTAACTCAAGGTGGTTAAACCTCAAATCAAAGAGTACCAAGCTCTGATACCAATTGTTAGATCCTAGAAAGGGGATGAATAGGATCAATGCTAATCTAATTCCGATTTTAAGCCAATTAAAAACTTTCTTGATTAATAAATTCTTGCAAAAGGTATATGAGTGAGTTATGAGCAAGAATGTAAAATACAAGCCCAAAATAAATATACACAAAGCAAACTCAAACATAATAATATGATCACGGAGTTCGGACCTTTCGTCCTACGTCTACGCTCCCCACTCCCGGGGAGAATCCACTATCAAGACACACCCGGTTTGGAAATCGGAACTTCTCTACACATTCGATTTTCTAGTTCACTGAAAAACTCTACAAGCCACTCACAATGTACATACACAAACTACAACCTCAAGTGTTGGTCCTCACGTATCGTCTCCCTCAAGTGCGCGACTTTACTACCTCTCATTAGGGTTTACAACCGACGCCACACCTCTTGGTATCGACTACGTCCTCACCACACACAACTCTCGGTGTAAATGTGTATTACAAAGTGATACTCTCACAATAAGGCTCAATTACAAGATTTGTTCTCTAATTATGAATGAGAACATAATGAAGCTCACTCTCACAATATCACTCACCACAACCCACAATATAGTGTATGTAATCCTAAAAGCTTAATAGGGGGGTGTGTGTGATAAATGAGTATAAATAAAATCTAACTCAAAAAGAACTAGCAATAAAATAGATATGAAATTCAAGAATAAAAATGCTAGGTAATGAGTTAGGGAACTTCTCTATAAACACAAAGAGTGGATGATGAGATATTGAGGATGAATTCCTCAACCAAAGATGTAATCTCTTCTTTGTGAAAACCAAACTCTGAACTTAAAATAAACTAAATCAAACTTTTAAACTCTTTTAAAACTTGTTTAAAACTCTCTTGGGTGGTTGGAAATAGTTAATGCAAAAGGGTATTTATAGGCTTAAAGAAACCAACCCAAGAATCCAACAAAAAACACTTAAAAACATTAAAATAATCAAAGCTGGAAACTAGCTGTTACTGTGCAACACTAACTTGGCGGTCGACCGCAGTCCAAGGTCGGTCGACCGCGAAAGGCTGAAAAATAGAGAAAGTCTCTGGACAATTCACGGTCGACCGCCGCGACCACTCCAGTCGACCGCGGACAGATATATGACATACACAGTTTTAAAACAGAAATGCTGATTTTTAAATTGCCTTAAAAAATAGCAAATAAATTCTGAAAAATGTAAAACTTTAGGGAATGATTGTAAACATGAAAATGAACATGTTACAAAAACTGGTTTTCAAATAGCGCTTCCCATTTGTGAAATCTCATTATTCTGCAAAATCGGTTAAAATGCGAAATATCGAAACACATGATTTTGACAAAATGACTTAAACAAAGCTTTGAAACACTTTAGAATGGATTTATAGACTTATACAAGATATAAAAATAGTGTGAATAAGTCTTCAATCCATAAACATAATATTTATCCATAAATATTATATTTTGCAAATTCAATAGAATATGTAACTCATAAATGTGAAAATGAAGATATATATTGTTTCATATCTATATAGCTAAATCAAAACATATATGTATATATATAACTATATACAAAACCAAAACATGTATGCGTGTGTAAATTTGAGCTTACAGAATTAGCACACATTATATATAAACCTATTCTAAGTATATCAAGATTGAATTTTCTGAAACTTGAATTTGATTGGTTGACTTGATTTGCATAGGTTTCAATATCATTGTAGCTCCTTTTTCTGTGTATACTAAACAACACAAAACAAAATACTAAAAACAATATTAGTCGTAAATTGTTTGTTAAATCATCATCAAAACAAGAAGGCTAACAATTTCCTCCTTATAAATTTGTGAGTATCGTTTTTTAGCATGATGAGTTCTTATCCTGGTTATATACTTTGTGCAATTATATTATAGAATGGGGTAGGAGGAATTATCTTAAATCATAGGGGCGTAATTGACTTAAAAACACATGGTATAATTTTAACAGAAAAATGAAGTGAATTCTTGACAGGGATATTAAATGGGATAGATACTTTGGATATCTAATTGTAAAAAAACCGTTTTGGGGTATCAAAGTTAAAAAATCGGTAAACTTTGTGGTACCAATGTGAAAATAAGCCTTTTATTATGCACTTGAATTTTTTGTTGAGGCGATCCATGATGATTGCCTGAGGTATGAGGAAGCATGAGGAAATTCACTAACCCGTGTTAATACATGATTGTGTGCCATACTGTCATGTGATCAATGTTGCACCAACACACATTGAAGGCCGGACATGACGGCCGACATTTAAAACCTTGATGCCATGTCATCAATGTTGCACCAACAGTCCAACAAACATTGAAGGCCCCTGTTTCTTTCTCATCATATTCAACAACAACAATAACAACAACAATGTGCATGATACTTGGTGGACATGCAACAAACATGTTCTCTATTGCGAATGCATATTGGTGTTACTAAATAAGTTTTTGCATGTGCTTTGGATGTTAATTTTACATTGTGGTTATGGTGTTTAGTGTTCTTGTTTTATATGATTTGGGATTTTGGGTTTTTATGTTTTGATGTTATGAATTTTGAAGTTATATCTTATTTGTAGTCTTGTTCTACACATGCATATCCACATAAGAGACACAGAGTTGCCTGATGTATCCACATCCTAGTTTTGTTCTCCTCCAGGTTTTGCAAATCTTTATATTAGCATATTACTATGTCTATGTCCCATTTCGGAGGCTATGCAGCATACCATGTGATACACTTGGCATGCCAGGGTTATGCCTGAATTAACACAGAAGTGCATGATGATGATTAGCTGGACGGGAAACAATGTAGATCTACCAATTGCAAGCATATCTCTTCTTTCTTTTTCTGGACGAAATCTCTCTCTCTTTTCTTCAGTTTTCCCCCTTTTTCCTTGGTCCTTCTCTTCCCTGTAGTCTCCACGCCCCCCCAACCTCTCTCCCTCCCTCCCTCTCCCTCCCTCCTCCCATACTGTGCAATTGCATTACAATGACCGAAGAAAATCATATGAGCTGGCAGGAAGAACATCAATGTCCTTATGTCCCAAAATGTTGGGAAGTTGACCAGCAGCTCTGAAAATCAAGTGCTACCGACTTGAGAAACATAGGAAAATAATTGGCATATTTAGAGAGAAAAAAGTAGCATAGTATTAAATGCATGCTGGGGATGTTAAATTGTTGGTGACTACGTAGACAACAAGTTTCTAGTTAGTGCGGAAGTAATATGACAGGTCATTTATAGCAACTTTATCAAATTGAAGATTCCATATGCAGAAGATGAGAACCAGAGGAAGAGGGAAAAACATAGACCCGACTGTGAGGTCTTTACTCGGAATTCCTTACTTTAGTGGCATCTGCTACCACTTTAATGGTTTGTTTCACTCAAAACTTTTTTTCTATCAGGTTTCGGCCCAACATGTTTATTAAGCCCTTTGCAGGATGCATGTTAAATCTAGGGTAAGAAGACTGAAATTAATATATGAGTTGGATTTGTGTAATGTGTGATAGTGGATGCATCACGGAAGCGGATTGATCTTGCTGTGGTGGAAAACCTTATGAGGATCAGGACACAGGACGTACCTTGAGTTATGCAGGAAACATTCATGAGGAAATACATTAAAGAGCCGAATGGTGCAAAAGGGAAAAGTATTCTGGGAGGAAATGTCCTACATACTATGGGAAAAGGGATTCATGAAGCCAAGACATTACTCAGGCATGTAACATGGGTATGAGAGTCCACGTGTCTACTAAATATTTTGTAACATGTGTGTGAGAGTCCACATGTCTACTAAATATTTTGGTCACTGGATCCTCCACAACATAACACAAGAAATGACTATATATGTTCATAAATTGTGTCTGTATATGCATGAGTTTTTTGCGGTTGTGCATATGCACTGGATTAAACAGTTGGTTGATAATTTGCAGAGTCGATTTAGGCATTTATTTTATACAATCAAGAGTGTCCATGTTAAACCACTGACGTCATTGTGGAATGCTATCATCATGCCTTAATGCCTTAATGCACCATTAAAGTGTCATAAGCTGTGCTAACTTGTACTAATGCCCGAGTATGTGATACATCATGAACCTGAAATTTGGAGGTGTCATGAAAACATTGTTGCAGCCTCCAAAGTATCAGGCTTCTTTGTTGTCATTATTGCACAGCGATGTTAGTGCATTGGTGATATCATGATGGCATGGCTTAATGGGCTATTTAGTCACCAAGTAGCTTCTAGCATTCTAAGGCCGAAATGCATGACTCATCATTACCTAAGCTTGAATTATTCTGGAAACACTATACATCCATTGAAATGATTGCCCTAACATTGTTGTTGATATGATTATTCATTTAGCAAGTAATTGTTGTTTTAACTAGGGAAAAAAGATGCTTGAAAAGGGGCTGGTATGACTGCTAGACTACATGAAATTATGCTTTATCATCAAAATGTCATTCTTGATCAACACTTGCGTGAATTTATGAAGTTGTCTTTGTTGATTTTTTCCCTCTTCAGTTCTTTTTGGCTGCTGACGATTATCAAATTTGGCATGCTTTGTTTTTCAAAGTTAGTCAATTCAGGATCTCGGTTGTAGCTAACCAATCAAGCTGTGTTTTGGAGAATTGTGTTAATTCTTCTTTCCAATTTGTTCATCCAGCATATTCAACAAGTACATAGTCATCATAATGTCTATGTTTGATTTTGACTATGTAGCTGTACTGTCAACTGTGTAAAAGTTATTCTTTGATTAATTTGCTTGTTGAATTTATTGCAGAAATTTGCGGTCTAAAGAGAAAGATACAGAGTTTTAAGGATGAGGAGTACTATATAAGTTCCATCCCAACAAATCAAGTATGTGGTCTATATTTAGTGGTCAATCTTACTGCAAAAGGCCACATTGTCACGTTACACATTTAAAACAAGCATTAGGCATAAGTAGACTGGCCTCATAGATACACTGTTCCATTGATTTTGTTACTTAGATGTTGGCCAACTTTCTTTTTGTTTGGTTGTATTTGAAACTATGACTTCAAGATATGACTAACTGAACTTTCTTGTTGGAATTCTAGCATTTGGAGGCAGGGTTATCAGTTAAGGGCAATGAAGGTTTTGAATCAAACAGGTATCTTGTTACTCCTGTTTAATCTTTCTCTTATTATTATGATTTTATCATCAAACAGGTAAACATTACTGACATTCAGATTCTTCTTTTGTTAAATTGTTATTAAGCAATTTCTTACTATTAGCTAGACAATTGCAAAAGAGAGCAGATTCTGGTGTAGTGTAGTATCAGCAGATCATCATAAAATAATAAAAGAGGAATGACTACGGTGCATGTTAGAAGTTATTTACCTGCATTTCTTGGTAAGAACACAGTTGCAGTTTCTAAAATGAATGGATAAGTCAAGAGAATGTAATATGTTGCAATATGTGGTTTGAATGCTTGATAATGAAGCATATAATATTAAGAAGTTCTGAACCTTCATGATCGCTGATTTACTAAGTCATAGCTCTTACCGGTGGACTAGATCCTACTATAAAAGATATTATATGGCGTTTACTTTGGGCCTGTTCCTGTGTCCTCAGTATTTAATTAGCATAATGATATATTTGGAGGTGTATATCTTTTTTAGATTGAGACTTGAGAGTCCTTAAATCTCTGGTAGTAAGGGCATCAAGCCTTTCTGGTCTTCTCATTCTGTGATCCCGTCATTTTATTTCTCCAGTACAAAGGTTTTTGTTTTGGGTTGTACTGTTTGACAATCACTCATGGAGGGAAAGTATCCGAGGTCTTGAAAGCCCCATGGAAGGTAAAATTCTAGAAAAATGCTTACTGATTTTAATCCAATTATTCCGAACTTGCAATTATCTACTCATTAGATGACCCATTATCCTTTTCCATCTTCCATAATTACTTTTCTTTTGATGTCTGTTTATCTATTTGATCCATAACCTTGAAGGTACTCTCGTTTCTGTTTACTAACCATTATGGCTTAAACAATTGAAAGTAAAAACTATAAACCTATTTTCATTTATGTGTAAAATGTTGGTTGAAACTATTTTTATGGTGCGGACAAATCTCGACTCTTATGACTATTGTTATGACCACTCATGTTGATGTAAATAACTTATTTGATTATATCCTAAGTTCATATAAATTTTTATTCTTTAATTTTCAGATTGGATGCTGCAGTTCTTGACCTCGTTGCTGATGATAGTTCTGGTTTGCAAAAGCAATTTAATTTTCAGATTGGATGCTGCAGTTCTTGACCTCGTTGCTGATGATAGTTCTGGTTTGCAAAAGCAAAAATCGAGGTATCATTGGGATAAGGTATGCTATATTTCAAAAGATATAGAATCATAGATGGTTTATTGTATGCCTTATTATAAATTTTTTTAATAGGAACTATTAACTTTTTTTTACAGAAAGGCAAAAAGTACATTAAGCTGAATAATGGGGATCATGTCACAGCTGCAGGAAAGGTATATTTTCAACATCACTATTAATTACATTAAGCTGAATAATGGGGATCATGTCACAGCTGCAGGAAAGGTATATTTTCAACATCACTATTAATATTTCACTATTAATATTTAATATTTTTGTCACAGCTGCAGGAAAGGTATATTTTCAACATCACTATTAATATTTCACTATTAATATTTAATATTTTAGTGAAGGATGTTTGACTTCATTTAGTAGCACGCTATCACTAGTATGGGATGCAACATTTTCCCTCCTTTGTTTTTCTACTTGGGTGTAGATGCACTGGAAAAATGGAGAAATAAATTTCAAATAATAGATTAAACTGAGCTAGCTTTAGCTCATTTTGTAGTGGAAACCAAACTTGGCAACTTAAGATATGTGGATGGTAGAAATGATAAAAAGAGAAAATATAAAGATGCTTAACTGCTTGAGTCAAGAAGTTAGGTTGCCAAAATCATATTGCAACTTTTTCCCTTTTAATTATGGAAACACATCACACATCTAATTTGAATTAGATAAAATAATGGTTAGGACTTAGGAGTAATCTGACTTCTGAATTTTGGATTTGGACATTGTTGACACTGAAATCTGATTAGTCTTTGGTACTGAAATGCAGAATGTTTTAGAGACCTGGAAAAAACAACGAGTTGAAACACAATGGGGAATAAATCCTTTTCTTCCAAACAATATCAATATCAATAATCAATTTTCAGTCTTTTATTCTTAAAAAATAAAAAAAAAACTGAAAAACAAGTACATGAATTACCTTGTTTGTAATTTAAACAGAGTGAGGCAATTGAAACTCCTCTTAGCTTGAATTTTGGTAAACATAAAATAATAGGATTCCTAATAATTCCTGAATAAAGGAAAAAAATTATAATATCATTTCTAGAGATAATTCAAATATTGTCCTAACCCCATGCAAACTCTGACTAATAGACAATTCCTAAGATATTTTTAATTGTACTTTTAGTATTAATTCCAAAAAAGGTGTTTTAGCTGTATTCTGTTATAATTTGATCTGCATCAGTTAATCTATTCTTATCAGTTATCATGCATTTGATTCCCACTTATCTTTTCAGCTACGTAGTCATATGTTAACCTAAAGTGACTATGTTGTTCATGGGCTATAAGGAGGCTATAAGGACATGGTCTTGAGCCTGCAATTCGTATTGCCAATTATCAAATTTTGACTTAGTTTATGTGGATATTAGTGACTCCCTTGTCTATCTAGCAAAATGACACTTCAAGAATCTGATATATTCTTTGTAAAGTAAATATAATAAGAGCTTCAATGATTAGAATAACTCAAATTTATCCCTCAAAAATAAATTCCATCTAATATACCCTTTTATATATCTACTTGTTTGTTTCTTTTTTATGACCATGATAGCAGCTAATATGTACCATTGTTGATTCTTATGACTCATAGATCAAGACAGAAAGTGGCGCAAAAGTAAAGGCTGGTAAAACAGGCATATACAAGAAGTGGAAGGAACGTTCTCATAGACAGATTTCACTTGAAGGGAAGAATGTTTCTGACGAGGGAACTTCTCGTGCAGGTGATGTTATCTTCTTTTTCTATGCTTCTGGTCAAGTTCTATTCGGTTATCATACACATATATATATGAGTATGTCAAGATAAACAACTGAATGTGTATACTTTATCAATTGTTTTCTTAGTTGTTTTCCTGTGTTAGGCTCAAAATATTAAATATCGGATATATCGGAACAATCGGACGGCCAAAATTGATATAAGATTGTGGAAATCAGGGATATATCGGGGATATGTAAAAAATATCGGGTTGTCATATCGGATGATGATCATATATAGCATAACATTGTAATATGTAATCTAAACATATCTAGTGTATCTTAAACACAAGAAATTGCATTATAATTCATGAATAATGATATATGTAATATGCTTAGGATGACTAACCGTTTGTAGAAGTTTGCTTCTCGATCGCATGATAAAACTTCCCAAGTGCAAAACATTCAAAATAAGAAAATAATGTTAGTCAAAGACTCAAAATAGAATACCAAACAAGCAAATGATGCAAGTAATAAAGAATCAATATTATAATTGAGGTGCAATCACAAAATTCACAAGTTAACTTGGGATCTAATATTCAAGATTGTCAATATCCATAAAGAAATAAAGCAAAGCAAGCAACCAATTAAGTTTTAGAAGTTACACAAGTTGTTCATAATTGTTTATCATTATATCAATCCAAAATAACATAACCAAAATGAAGTAGAAGCAAATATGACTAAAATTTATCTTTTTCGGGATCGATGGCCAAAATATCATCCATAAACGTGCAAGCCTCCTCCGACCCATATGAGGACTCCGAAGGTGTTTCCTACTCGTCCTCTTCATCTATGATCGGCTCCTTTGATCTTAAAGATGATATCCCTTACTTTCTCTAGCTTTGGTATGTCTTTGTTCTTCCACTCTTTCTCCTCTTTTGATTAGCACCCGATACTTTCGCAGCTTGCGTCCAAGTTAATTGTTCTCCGGGGAACACTTCATCATCACTCTCTCCACTAACTTGATTTGGAGAGATCACCCAATGCGTGACCTTTTCTTTGTCATCGTGGCAAGTAGATGATCTCTATCCTTTTTAAAATGCTTGTTTTGAAGCTTCGCATTGAATTTGACAAAAAATAAGTCATGCAATTTCTTATGACTTAATCTATTCCTCTCCTTTATGTGAATCTACTAATTTAAACATTTATAGCACAAAGAAAAAAATTGGACTCAAATGTGCTTCAAGCCTCCAACACAATTAAAACTTAAAGAGATTATTATTATCATCTCAAATATACTCCAATTCCTCTCACAAGCCGAAGAGGTAGTTGTCAAACTTCAAATTCTCATCGCTATCCTCCTAAGGTCGGGTGTATCATTCCTAAAAAAATACCACCATGTAACTAGTCAATTTAAACAATTTAAAATAATTAGCATTTTATAATAGATGTTTATGATGGATAATTTGAATGGAAATGCAAGCATACCGGTATTACTATTGGGTGGGCTTTTCAGCTTGGTTCACGGCAACATAGCTCCCAAACGATCCTTTTCTATGTTGATAATCAGAGAGTTAAGCTCTAGTCCTGTCAAAAGCGGCATCATCCTCCATATAGAATCTATGCATACATTCAACAACACTTTGTATGAAGGTTCCATCATTTTTAATTGCTGCAAAAGATGGATAAAAGAAGAAGGGATTGAGATAATATCCTGTTTTATGTAGAGGCTCCATAAGCTTATCCTCCCATCTTGTATCAATCATCTTTTGTATAGGAAGATATTCTTTTCATTGTTGAGGGCCGTTTTTTAACTTTTCCTTGGCCACCAACATATCTCCATAAATAAACCCCATAGACGGGGTTTTATCACTATCCACTCTCAAAAACTTCACCAATAAACAATTGAAGGGAAAAACCAACATTGTCTCAAAACTTGTTGCTTGTAATAATTTCAGCAACCTACAAAAAAGATATGCAAAAAATGCAATGATCTAAAAAACCTACTAGCCTACCATAACAAGGAACTGAATACTTTATATCTATCAAACTAAAATATTTATACCTTTTTGCTCGGTATCGTTGACGATAGACTACAGTTTATCAACTTGTCAGAGATGAACATCTGCTGTATCTCCTTTTTCTTCTCCCTCATCAACTGTAGATTTAGAAATGCTATAGCAAATCTCGTCGCCTCTGGTATTAATATTTTCTTATATGTGAACTCTCTTAGCAATTAAAGGGACATGGGATGACTGTAGATGTACACTTATACAGTTCTTCCCATCACAATTGCACTCTAAATATGCTTGATTCTGGCTATGTCACTCAACATCAAATTCACACAATGTGCTGCACATGTTGTCCAAAAGATATTCGGCCTCGTCTTTTCCAAGCTAGTGGCGGTCACCATATTATTTGAAGCTCCATCTATCACAATTTGCATCACATTTTTTCGGCCCTAACTCAACGATTGCTTTCTCCGCAAACTGAAGTATGTAGTTACCATCATGTTTATCGGCCGATGTGTCTTGTGAAGTTAAAAAATAATGTCCCTCTATAGGAATGCACGGCTATGTTCATTATGCTCCTCCGCTTTCGATTGCTCCAAGCCTCGGTCAATGTAGAGACCTAGTGACCACACAATTCTTTTTGAAGTTTTCACCGATCACTTTTGTTTCATTCACCTCTCTTTGCAAAATAGACTCTCTTAACTCATATGCCGATGGAGCTTGCACACGTGCTCCAAATTGTCCAATAGCATACATCATTTGTTGGAAGGAGGGAAGTGTTACGGTGTTGAAGGCGATGCCGACTTCATAGAACCATTTCCCTATATACTTATTCGCATCATCCCTAAGCTTTGAATTTATCATTAGTTGTTTCCCCTATGGTAATTAGTTGTTTCCCCTATGGTAGTAAAGCGGCGGTCTTCTCGGGAGGGCGACACGCAAAAGAGTCCATTGGCCTTTTTGTCTTGAATGAAGAGGATGAGCTTCTTTGTGATGGATTCTCCTCATTTTTCTCCTCCCCCACATGCACATCACTCAATAACATTCAATCTAGCATCATTTTCATCTTTTTTTATCTGCCTCATCTAACATTGCACAAATTTTATTCTTCACATCCTCATGAACCTTGTCAGACGGCTTACAATTTCCTCTTTTTCCCGCCATATGAGCTTTGAATAGGCTTATGCCCCCACTAAAAGCTTGCAAGCATAACTTACACCACACCAACCTTTTCTTCATATTGCCAACAAAGATTTTTACCACCTTTTTTGGAGGAGCACTAGATCCTTGACCTTCAGACGCATTTTCTTACTATCATTTTAACATTCAACAAACATGGATTTTAGTCTTTTAGATAAGCAAACTATACCAATGAGATAACAATACAAACAAACAATCCAATTTGAGGGAGAAAACAACTATAATGTCATAAGTTTCATAGCCGATTAATACATATTTCAATTTCAATCTTAATCTTAGTTTAAGAACTTTAAATTTGACTCCATAATTGAATTTCAGTCCACAAATTCAACAAAAATTTCAATCTACAATATCCACAAATTTCAGTCCATTAATGCATATCACATTCAACAAAATTAAATTTAAAAATCACATTCAACAAACATGTAGCTCAAATTAAACACAGTCCACAAATTCTTTAAAATGAACTTAGTCCTTTTATTCAATCTCAGTCCAAATATTTAATTAAATACAAAAAATAATTTCTCAAAATTAAATACAATTAGTCCATGTGTTCAACTTACCCTCACCATTAGAGACTTTACCACTTTCTTCACCTTCTTCTACCATGACTTTTTGATGAAAAAAACCCTAAAATAGAGAGTTCAGAAAAATTAGGGTTTGGAAAAAAAGAGAGAAGGGAGAGACTGAAAAGAGAGGAGAGAGAGAGAGAGACTGAAAAGAAATGAAGGGAGAGAGATAGACCCATATGACATACCATTGATTAGGGTTTTGAGGGACCACTTCGAGAGAGAGCTTCGAAAGGCAGAGGTGACCATGGAGGGAGGGGGAGAGAGAGGGAGGGGAGGGAGAGCTTTCACCTAGGGTGAAGCTGTGGAGGAGAGAACTGAGAGGACCACGGGAGGGAGGGAGGGAGGGGGGAAGGGGGCAGAGAGAGAGAGAGAGACACATTCGACAGTGAGTCGGGTTCTCAAGAGCAGAGGATGGAGAGATGATGAGATTTAGGTATTTGGATTAGGGATCGGGTGTTTTATTTTTATGTCTTAGTGGGTTCGGATCAGGTTTGGGAACCCAAACAATCAAAAAGACCCAAACTCAAAAAACACCCTAATCGACATTATTTACGCATAGATATAGCGGTTGATATATCCGATGTATTGGAAAAGAAAACCCTAAAAAACAGAAAACAATATATTTTCATCAACATCATTGCGGAAGCATGTCAAAGCCGATATTTAATACATTGGTTAGGCTTAATCTTAGTTTCGTTTCTATATGCTATAGTCAGTGTCATTTGCAAACTGAACCTGATGTTTTCATGTCTCTACTGCCTTGAACATTATATTTTAATGAGGAATTTAATATGACTATCTCTTCCCCTAAGTTAAATCATTATCATATCCCTTAACTATTCTCAATCAAGTTCTCATAGGTCTACCTCTAGTTCTCCTCCATTGTATCCTCCGTTAATTAGCTTATTATATTGTGTCTAATAAAACTTAATTTAACAAACCTCTATTCCAAACAGGCGGTCACCAAGCAAGAGGAGGAAACAAATGGCAGTTCAAGGGAGGAAAGAATCGTCGTTCAGTGCCAAATGCCAATGTGCCATCCGAGATTAGAGACCCTGAGCAAGTGCGAAAAGAGAGACAACAAAAGGCTAATCGGGTGGCTCGCATGAAGAGCAAACCCTCAAAGGGCAAAAAATTGGGGAAAAAAGGAAATTCCCAAAAGGGGAAGGGGAAGAGGAAACAATGAAGAATTTATGCATCCCTTGGAAGGTTTTTGAGCCGCACAAAAAGTTCTTAATTGCATAAAAATCTTCAGGAAGGGATGAGGAAAATTTTGCTCCTCTATGCTTCCCGCAAATTGTTGTATTTTTTCTTGTGTTGAATGTCTGTTGTCTTGTATTTTTCTTGTTTTATTAATTTTGGTATATTTTACTATGGAGATGTTCCATCATTATTTATGATGTGCATCGGTGTTTGATGCTAATTTTTGCGGTGGTCTTGAGCTAATTTGTTGATGCAAGTGTAAGTGTGTGTTCTTCCCCCAGTATGCGTGACTGGTGATTGTCTCCAGTGAGTTTTTAGATGATATGTAATTTTTCTGGCATCTTTACGTTTAACTTCATTATTTTTATGGATATTGGAGGGCTTTCAATGAAAATCATACAGAGGAAGCAGAGCAAGATGTGTTCCACTACTAATATTTTCTTTAGAGCTTAAGGGTTTGGTTGGATATATTGTTATTGGATTTGAATCTTCACAACCCTATAGTGAATGGCTTTGATTTATTTTTTAAATTTATCAAACATCACTTGCTGATTTTTCTTTCAAGTCCAATGTTAACATTGCTTTAAATAACTAACAATTAGAAGATAAACTACTGTTTTTCAAACAAAGAGAAGGATCAAACATCTTTTGGTTGTTTATTTCGAACGAATCAAATAAATGCGACAGAGAACACACCACTGTATTTTGAAAAAGAAACAGTTCTTATATTGTAATGCTTTTAAAGATCTATATTATTGTATAAAATTTCAAGTAAATTGTAGGAATTAATGAAATTTTCTCGTTGCCCTTGCAATTTCAAGGGCAAAATTGTAATTTTTTCAGGAGTATTTTATTATTTCCTTTTTCTTTTCTCTTTTTTTTTCTCCAAGCATGTTTTAAATTATTAAAAGCCATTATAATAAGATTGGATCCTTATATCCATTATATTTTAGTTTATAAAAGATAGGGGAAAGAGACGATTTATTAACATAAGTAACCATACGCATATTAAAAAAAGCCAAGATTCTTTACAAATGTCTATTCCACAATTTCTATTACTATATCAGAAAATTTAGGTAAACGGATAATTTTTTCTTAGAAAATCATTTGACCCTCAATCCTTACATGTCCATTGTTAAACGCACATTCTACTAATAAATGAGATGAAATAATAACATGGCATATTAAAAAAAAAAGTATGCAAGGACATGTTTTTCCTATCACGTGCATCGGCGTTTCATAATTTTTTGGTGAGAGAGTAGGTCAGAGGATGTGGAGATGAAGTAGGAAGAAAGAACGGAAAAGATCTGCAATGAGGAGAGAGAGAGAGAGAGAAAAACCAATGTTTTGTACTTGATAAAATGTTACGCGTGTGAATTGCTAATGTAGATTAAAAAATTCTAAAAATATCGGGTTTCCATTCTATTTTGGAGAGTTTTGGCCTGAAATTGTTTTTTGATTCTTTGGATCAAATCATCTTTTTTAGTAAAAGGACTACCCACTTTTATTCGACATCCAAACAACAAAAATAGAAACCATTTAAAGAAATTGATTCTAACAACTATGAAGATGTACCATCACGATTCAGTACATGATCGTGAACTAATTGGCTGATGTATGCTAATCTTTATAGTGATCGTGAACTAATTTGCTGATGTAAGTACCGGATAACGAGCAATGTGTTTTTAGATGTGCAGCTAACTCATATGACTTCTCCGTGTTCAGTTTTTTTAAATACATATACGTACTCTATTGCACACAATGCATGCGTGATATACACCACCCTTGTGTGTAATAAATAAATTGTTTAACACCTTAAGAATTAATATTAATATATGCATTATAAATAGTTCCAGAAAAAACAATAGCGTATGGTATTTCAGAAATAGGTTAGTTATGAAATAATGGGGTTAGTTATGAAGGAGATTATTGTTTTGTCTTTTTTCAAAATCTTCCTTAATTAAATTGTAAATTTTTGAAAATTGTGTATAATTTTAAATTTTTTTTAAAGGTAACTCATATAGGGTTAGAAAAAAAAGGGGCTTTTTAAAATAACAGATAGTTTGAAGGGAGTACATAGTGTGTCTACCTCGTTGTCGAAGTCGGTGAGGGCCGCTATCTCTACCTTGTCATCGTCTGGGATTGCCGAAATAACATTACAAAGCTTATGCTTGTCTTTAGGATTTTTGGAAGTCTATTGCTCATCATCGAGGAGATCGGGGTGAACCTACATCACCTGCCATGATGGCAAAGTCTGCGACACTAAACTCTTTTCTTGCTGATTGTGAGGATCGGCATTGGTAATCCTCAGCACCGCTTTGGGGATAGGTATGACACCTGCTAGTGCACGAACTTCAGAAAGGACTGCCCCAAATTTGAGAGTTATCATGTTCGACGTCACCTTCTTCTGGACATTCTCCTTTGTCAGGACTCAGGCCTCGTAGAGGGCTTACAGTTTGTCTTTGAGGACATAGCACTTGGAGGTATGATGACCAACAAATCTGTGGAAGGCACAGTAGCTGGGGTCATCAATCTTGTTCACGTTCTCAGGCTTCATGATCTCTAGAAGCTTGATTCTGTTGCTTTGGAGGAGAGTGTCGAATGTAGGAACTACCAAGTCTTCATTGAAGTCATAGTGCCTCAGAGGGCGCTGTTCATACGGCTTGGTCCTCTGACGAGGAGCCATCTTGGAGACTAGATTAGCATCTATAGTCATGATCTCTTTCCCCTTTGATCGAGTGTTCCGAGAGGTGTTTGGTTCTTGTAACGCCCCGCCCCGGAATTCCGGAGTCGGTACGCTATTAGATCTGATGGACTAGCCTCACAAGCCACCACATGTCTTTTCAGCACGTTTTGTCCTCACTCACGCGCTCCCTGGAAAACTTCCCAGGGGGTCACCCATCCTAGAATTTCTCCAGGCCAAGCACGCTTAACTTTGGAGTTTCTAAGAGTTAGGTTCCCGAAAAGAAGATGCATCTTGGTGGAATGAGTATTCTAATCAAATTTATCAATACTAATCACATCACCCTCTCAAGGGTTAGGGTATTACAAACTCCCCCACTTAAACTCGCAACGTCCTCGTTGCGCCAAATCATATCATCCAAGACCGTACCATCCGTGTGAGATTCTAGAGGTGGCTCCTACGGCCTCAAGAGGTGGCTCACGCCCTCTCGACGTTACACTTTGCGCCGCATAGCACTTAGCTCTCACAATTCGGGTTGGCTTTGCTCTGATACCATTTGTAACGCCCCGCCCCGGAATTCCGGAGTCGGTACGCTATTAGATCTGATGGACTGGCCTCACAAACCACCACATGTCTTTTCAGCACGTTTTGTCCTCACTCACGCGCTCCCTGGAAAACTTCCTAGGGGGTCACCCATCCTAGAATTTCTCCAGGCCAAGCACGCTTAACTTTGGAGTTTCTAAGAGTTAGGTTCCCGAAAAGAAGATGCATCTTGGTGGAATGAGTATTCTAATCAAATCTATCAATACTAATCACATCACCCTCTCAAGGGTTGGGGTATTACAGTTCCGAAGCTCTATTCTTGGATTGAGGCTCTTCGACTTCCAGTCACTTGATCATGTTTTCAACTTGCTCGCCTTGGCGAACAAATTCTTTCCAGGTCCGGGTTTCCACTACGCCGACTCTGGACAGAATGTCGATTGAGAGGTTGTTGTGACACATCTCAACCAGGGTGCCTAAAGAGACTTGATCCTGGCATTGTAATGACCGATTCTTGAATCTCTTCACGAAATCATTGACCGATTCTATCTTCTTTTGCTTGTTAGCGAGCAGGGTGGCCATCGACACTTTCGTGTTGTCATTGAAGAAATGGGCCAAGAAGAGATTCTCCATGTAGGCCCATGTTGTGATATAGCTCAGTTCCAGCTTGCGAAACCACTCAAAGGATACCCCCCTCATGGTACCAATGAACAGTCGGGTTAGGATAGCATCATTCCCTGTGAGAAATCATGTTTGGGATATGAAGTAGTAGATGTGCTGTGAGGGGGGAGTCCTTTCCATCAAACTGGACTAGACTCATTAGTTTGAACTTTGTCGGGTAGGCGACCGTGTCCCATTCGACTGGATACGGTCAAACCACCCCTAGCTTGTTCATGTTCTTCTAGAGCTTTAGGGTATTGAGCTAACTATGGAACTCGTCGAGCCTCCTGTCTCGGGGAGTGCTGCCAGAATGTGAGTGTCTTCCTGAGGATTTGTTGGAATAATCCGAGTGTGGCTCGTGATTATCTTATTCCTCCATGGTGTGAGGAGGAGTAAGCTCTCACTCTTTGTTCCTTGAGAATCGTCGTCGATTCCGTGAATTCCTCTCCTTCTTCTTCTTCTCGTTGAGAAGTTGCTCCATCATCTCCTTTAGAGAGCTGATGGTTGCCTGCTGCTTCCCGAACCTTTTAACAAAGTCATCGGAAGCTTCCGCCATGTGCACCCTTGCGTGCTTGCCGTTGGCGGAGCTTGAGGTTTGAGATGTTGCTGCCGCTGAGCACACCTCGTCCTTGTTGTCGTAGATGGGCAACAAATAGGCATAATCGAACGGGATAGCCACCCCCGTTTGAAGATGAGTGCGTTGGTACACACCCTCATCTCTAACAGAGGGCATCAGAATCCCGGGGCGTACTCAGGGTCTGACGACTCTGAATATCTAGCTTTTCCTTTCCCTGCCATGTTGACAGTAGCAGTCGGTAATTCCAAATCATCGGTAGTCTATCCTCTCTGGCGATTGCATCTCCGATGAGGGAGTATTGACTCCAGAGGCTGCTGAGAAAGCCTTTAGAACATTGAAGGTTTTGGTGCCTTGGTATATTAGCAATCAACAAGAAATGCTTTGATGAGCCTCTTACAGTGGCACTAAGGATTGGCCTCGTGAATAGTGTTCTTGAAAGTCAGATGGTCCATGAGATCCCCTGTGGGTTGATGATGATAACCTCAGGTGTTCGAAGGACCAGTCGTGCGATTAAGTGCAACAGGTTGAAAAGAGTTCAAGTGAAAGCTCTTGGAAAATTCCCCAAGTGTTGAGTTCAGGTGACCTCGCCTTGACTGGCGAGGTCTTGTGTGCTGGCGAGCTTCAGCCGTCTGGTGAGCTCCAGCTACTTGTTCATTCGGGCGAGGTACGATTGCTTGACTGGTCTTTGCCTTACCTTTTCGGCCAAGGTATGCTTGCAGGCAAGGCCGATAGGGCTCGCCTGTATGGCGGCTTTTTCCTGTGGGGCAAAGCTCGCTTGACGTGCAAAGCTCGTCTGCTTGAGCGCGTAGTTCGCCTGAATCATAGAGCTCGCCTAAGTTAGGCATCTCGCCTGATCTGAGAAGATGATTTGAATTTTGAAGAGCGAAGCCCTCCTGATTTGGGGGAATCACATGTCTTGCTAAGCTCATCTAAATAG